AAGAGTCTCGTCTGGTGGCATTGCAGGGGCTGTATGTCCCCAAGCTCCTGGGAGAGCTGCCGGCATGCTGTCCGGAGCTCAGGCACCTTCCCCAGGAGGTGGCCAGGAGCCCGGCATGGAGATCCCCTGGAGCTGCAGTGTCTTGGAAGGATCCAGCCCTTGCTCAGACCCAGGTCTGGCAGCAAACTGCCGCCAGCAGACCCAGGCCACCAAAGGGTGGCTTGTCCCACACCTCCTGCTTGTGTTTTCCAGGGACCCGGCCCCATAGGAGAGCTTGGACAGGACACAACTCCTTTCAGCCCACCCTCTGGCCTGGTCTGGAGCTTGCCCATGGGCTCTCTCCACCTCGATTCCCCAGATCTGTAAGAGGGTGCTCCCCACTCTCCAAGACGCATTTGGGAGGAGAGGGCAGGGAGATGCTCGGAGATGGGACCAGGCAGGCAGCTAGTGGGACCAGACCTCTCCCAGGCCCAGGTCTCGGGACCTCCATCCCCAGCGGCTGACTCTGCTGACCCTCCCCAGATGCAAAAGGCTGGTTGGTACTCCTACATCTTATTTAAACGAAACTCACAGTGCCTTGTTAGTTTTTAAATATGCATTTTCCCAGCCTGACCCCAGCTGCCCTTGAAATGATACAGTTGTGCGGTGAAGCCCTACAGGGAATTATCATCTGAGCTCGCTCTCCCTTTGTCACCAGAGTCAATTTAAAAGCAGAGTAGCTGGTGATTTAATACCTCCGGTGTCTGAGGAAGCCCCACATCCATCCAGAGGCTGGCTCTGGCATTTTAGACACATAATTGGCATGGAGGAGTGTTTTTGCCAGCCATCCAACATGCTTTCGAATTCATCCATGTCTATGGAGAGTGCTGAAGCCTCCTGTCCTTGGCTGGTCATCTTCTTCTGTGTGTTAGTTAATGCCCCAGGACTGCACATCCTCCCCTCAGTTGGTATGTCCCATGGCAAATTGTTTTCCTATTCCTCGTGTACCTTCTCCCTTTGGATAAACCCAACATGGTTTAGTCCCTTGAAGAGGCTCCAGGCTCACAAACCGCCATCCCAGGAAACACTGCTCATGAAGTTAAACCTCCGAGAGCAGGAGAAACCACTGCCATCAGCTCTCCACAACCAGCTGGAAATTTAAACTGGGCCCAATACCTCTCGCTCCAGTGCAGAGCAAGAGACCGGTGCCCTCTGGGGACCGGCGGCAGCGCTGGGGGCCCCCAAGATGGGAGCCCTCAGCAGGGACTCCTGGTGGGAATGAATAGCGGAGGCTGAGCTCATTTTTTTTTCCTTCCTCCCTTACAATCTCCCTTTTCTTTCCATTTCACCACCTCCTTATTTAACACCATCGACTGCTGTGCAAAACCATCAGCCCGGTTTACAGCAGTGTGACCTACTTTCCCGCGCCGTCCCGACTTCCTCGCTGAAACGGCGAGCTTGGAGCCCACCCAAGCCATTCAGCGTTTCTCAGCTGAATAACAAATCCAATTAGGTGGAAGAAAGCCTGGCTTTCACGCTGTCAGCGCCCGGACATCTCACTTCCCGCTCCCCAGCGCACGCTGCACCACTCGCGGCCGCGTCTCACAGACATCCCGGACAAGGACCCCTCTGTATTTGTGTGCCCCTCCTCCAAATGAAGAGGGGGGGAAGGGTTCAAGAGGGCTGATCCTGGCTGTCCAACGTGTGCTTTCATTCCTCCTGACATCTCTTGGGGAACACGGAGCTCAGGAATCAAAAAATGTGTGGGTTTTTTCAGTTCTGGCTCTCCTGGGAAGCCCTCCCACAGAATCACAGAATCTCCTAGATTGGAAAAAACCTGTAAGATCATCTAGTCCAATCCTTAACCTAACACTGACAAGCCCACCACTAAACCATGTCCCTGAGCACTATATCTACACGACCCTTAAACACCTCCAGGGATGGGGACTCCACCACTTCCCTGGGTAATCCATTCCAATGATGACCTTTTCAGTAAAGAAATTCTTCCTAATATCCAATCTAAACTTCCCCTGGTGCAACTTGAAGCCATTTCCTCTTGTTCTATCACCGGTTACTTGACAGAACAGGTCGACTCCCACCTCTCTGCAACCTCCTTTCAGGTAGTTGTAGAGAGCGATAAGGTCTCCCCTCAGC